GATATTCCTAAAGAATTTTTATTGACTAATGATTGACAAATTTACTCTAGATTTCTTTTTCCAACTCTTGTAAATAACACACTTTCATCACCCTCGCTAATGTGTTATTTTTACACCTGATCTTGTATGAAAAGATAACATGAACAGACAACAGACATAAAAATAAAATTATTTAAAAAAATGTTTTATTTTGTGGATAAAGGACGAAATTTGTGCACGTGCATCATTCTAAATTTTATTTGACGAAATTCTATTTTGTGGATAAAGGATATTTTGATGAAATATGAATAAAAATACAGTAAAAAATGCTTTTTGTAGTCTATTAATAAACAAAATACTGGAGCTTATACTTATACTGGAAATATGAATTACTGTACAATGAATAGGCCTACAGTTTTAAATTGTATAATGAATATTATTATTTTTTTAATTTCTGGACCCCTTTGGAAACAAACCTTCGGGTTTAATGGGTTATCCTATGCTCCATCTGACCTGCTCTTTTTTTTTCTGATGCATTTAAATGTGTATTTCTTTTCTTCAATTCATGTTTTGTGGATTTTTTTTTATTTTTTTTTTCTAATAGTGCTTTTTACGCCAAATGGAACTTTTTTATTTGGACAATAAAGTTTATCTTATCTTATCTTATCAACTCTTTGATGTTTTCCTCAAAAAGCTGTTTTGAAAAGTTTTGCTTTGTAATTTTTTTTCTGTACTCTAATTAAAATAATGTAATGTTATGTTGTGAGCATGAAATATAAACAAACAAACAAACAAAATTACATAGAAAAACTACAGTGACTCATAACCACTGTTGAAGTGGTTTAGCCAAAAACAATGGGAAAAAACGTAACATGTCGATAACAACATATAGAAATAGGTCTACACAAATTATAGAGTTTCAGTGATCCAAAAAAGTGTGTTCAGAACAAATACTAATTAGCTGTGATGGTCACTTACCATACTGCCTCTCTGCTTGCAAATGGCATCAATCTCATCTAATATGATAATATGAAGACCACTGTTTATACCACACTAAGGAATAAAAATCAAAATACAAATATACATAATAATATTAAGATTATACTAATCATACATTCATTTTAATATAGTAGTCAATATTTCCTATGATAAAAAATATTTAAGGCCAGATTTTTGCATCAAAGATGATAATTGGCTATGGTGGTCACCTGATAACTATACCTAAAGGGATTGGGCAATCAAACAATTTGTTAATGTTTTTATATCTAGTGTGATTTTCATTGAATAAGAAATGTTACAGTGTGACTAAGGAATTAAAATGTTTTAAACTAACCCTCTTTTGTTCCTCTTCAGCTGCCTGAAATAGCTTTCTAATATTTGCCTCTGATTCACCAACAAATTTATTGAGAACCTCAGGTCCATTGACAATTTGTGGTTCACGGGCATTTAACATTTTACCAATGGTCCTAGCCATCAACGTTTTACCAGTACCTTAACAGAGGAGAAATGCAATTGTTAAATGTGTGATGTGTAGCATTTAATTTGTTTTTTTATTATTATTATTATTATTATTATTATTATTATTATTATTATTATTAACCAGGAAAAAAAAAGTATGTTTACATTATTTATCAAATAGAGTATTGCTTTGTAATTTCTGTGATTAAAATATAAATATTGGGTTGAAGTTTGGAATAATTAGCTTGATGTTAACATATTGTCTTCTTCAAAGTAGTGCACCTACAGTACCTACCAAACCTTTTACTCTGTAATGCAATATATGAGTCGTAAAAATGTTTTACTTGTTTATAGCATGTTTATTTACTACACATATACAACACACTTATGTTAGATAAACAGGCTGAAAATGACAGAGTGCACTCGCAACTTATCTACAAATTTGCACTTTTTCTGTTCAACAACACAAAAAATAGGTTTTGCCATCACCTGGTGGTCCATATAGTAGTATTCCTCTCACATGCTTGGCACCAATCTGCTCCACAAACTCCGGAGGGAAAACACGAGACGCAAAGGCTCTCCTAAAAATATTGGAGAATTCCTACAATGAAATGAAATTGTGTTAAATTGATTTAAATTTTTAAAATCTCATTTTTAGAATATAATTTTGAATGATAATTTTTATTATTGATACATACAGAATTAAATTAAATTGGCTTCATCTCCATGACTGTCTACAGAACACATCCAGTGACACAGAATACTATTTTTTGAGGCAGTAAGATGGAGAATATTCTTGGCAGTAGAATTTAGGAAAACTTCAGCCTCATCCCAGATGATGAATGTGTAGCTTACCTTATCCAGACCACCAATACCCATTTGTTTAAAATCCCAATCAGGGTTGATGATGGATTGGGCTCCTGATTTCCTGAAATAGTAATACAAGTAACAAAATTAAAAAGTTAGTCCAAATAATTCAAATGATGCAATTAATATATTGAAAGGCTTCTCCCAAATTTACCAAGTTACATACAAATTTAGTTTTAAAAATTTCATAAATAATACTAAACATAACAAAAAGTCAATATCAATAAATTAAGTTCATGATAATAACAATGTTCAATTAAATATAATACACCAGACAGCCCTCAAAATTAAGAAAAAAGTATGTCAGCAAAAAAGAAAGAAAATCGCCGACGCCATAAAACTGACGCCGGTTTTAACGTCGGCAGTTTTTAGATTCAGCCTACAGCCCTGAAATCAACCCATGCTGACCTGTTTCACCTTGCTAGCTAGTGTTGTTTGTTCCAGGTTAGGAGGCACCTGATCCCCGAAAAGATCAAGACTTAACCAATGCTAACCGGAGTACATAAACACAGATCTCCGGTTGGCGGTGATGGAGTAATCCCATACTTCGGTTTGGGTGCTAGCTTGGTGTTTATTGTTTTGTTTTTTGGGGGTTTATTTTCCGGCTTTTTTCTTTGTGTTCTTGACTTCAATATTGTCTAACGCATAGAGACCTCGTTTTATTTGCGCTATATAAATCCATCTTTTATTATTATTATTATTATGTGCCACAGGCCCGGCGGCTGATGGCTTACAGGTACGATATTGAGGGAAAATATGTAGGTCTGCTGTAGGTCTAATGTGTAAACATACAACAGATCTGGCTAACATTTAACGATTTAAGAATTAATTTTCAATCTTTACTGCAGAAAATAACACTGTGCTGTGCGTAACCATGGCATAGTCGGTTTTTTGTTTGATCTCTCTTTTTGTTACTAAAATATGCTGCGCATTGTCAAGAGTCAGACTTTTATAAGTACTGTGAAAGCATTACGCATTACATGGTGAAGTAGCCTATTCTATAAGTGCTTGTCCACGGACAAGTGGTCCCTAAAATTCTTGTTGTCCGACCGTAAAAAGCACTTGTCCCAGGCATCAGGCAAGTGGGTTTGCTCAGGCTTGAAGATGATAATGGTGTACCATTATCATCTTTGTTGTCAATATCATTATTACACTACCTTATTATTACTACTGCTACTACTCTACTTTATTTTTAATAAGAAAGTATTTTAAATCTTGGATGAACCATTGTTTAGCATGTGACGCTAATACAAGTCATATAAATATTGATCTAACTATCCACCTGCAACTACTGTATTTAGGATTACTCATTTTTTTAATGCTGAATATAATTATAGGGGCTACTAGCATGACACACTTACACTTTTGACTTTCCAGTTAAATTAAGCGCCGAGTTTTCTGCTTTTTCAAATATAATCTGACTGTTGCTCAGCAATTCACCAATTGTGAGTGTTGCTGATTTACCTGACCCACTATGACCTCTTAATATGGAAGGGTCAGCTCCTGTAAAAAATACAAAGATTCTTTATATTAAATTAAAAAACTAAATTATTTGCTGGTTCATTTCAACTCATATAGTAGATGATATTGAAAGGATACGGTACCTTAGAAATACTGCACTCCTTGAAAACCTATCCTGTAATCCAATACTTTCATAATTACACAGAACAAAAATAACGTTCCCATTTCTAATGATTTAATTATATATGCAAATTATTTGAAAACCCCTTAATTTTAATTCGCTTGCATTAATTGTTTAGACAATCCCTTAAGTTAACTAGTAGTATTATAATTTGATTAAAATTCCTTATATTAGTTCGAATTAAGAGGGCAGTTTATGAATCTCTTTTTAAAAGATGATTCTCTTACACCAACGAATTTGCCGTAAATTAGTCAATATGATTTCTACCAGGTCTGCGGTGAAGCATGCACTCACTGATCATACATACCACTGATTTCTTTCACCAACAAGCTCAGTAATTTCTTCTCAGGCATTTTGAATACCATCTAGAGGAAAAAGTGAGAAATTAATAAAATATTTAGAAGATGTATTCAAACAAACTGGTATTTAAATTAGATCTAAAATAAAAAAAAGTGTTAGTCAAATACGAATAACATGCTGTAAAAGCAAAACTGATGTTATGTTGTTGACAATGTAATACAGGAGACAATACAAGTGACTTCTTAGAACATGTAATTTATTTGGTGTACCATGATACATGGAATGAATAATATGTGACTGAAACCCGGACTTCCACTGGGTCTACGCCCATGGCCCAGGACCCCCGTCCCCCCAGCCGACTGGTGTATAGTCACACATTTCAAATCTCTCAGGTTGGTACTATGGCGTTGTCTGATGGAGCTTATAATTCCATAGTACGAAGGGAAAACAGCAAGAACAACATTGGCAGGTTTCAAACTTGGTTACTCTCACACCAAATTCCAATTCCCACACTGTGTAACCTTTTAATTGATATATTTAGCAGCTATTAGTGGATTGAACAGTTAGAACGTATAATTATTATTACATCTAACCACTCTCAAAATGGACAACAATTGCAATATAACCCATAACATAACGGGTAATATAACCCATTACCGGTATGTAATAAATAATGTGTAAACTGAATCTCAAAATGAGGCTTTAGAAGAGATTGATTTGTGACAGTATGCAACCTACCTGTTGGTCTACGCTGAAAGCCCTCCTGACAAACTGATTACAGAATTCCTGGGCCATCTTATCTGAATCATAAGCTTCACTACTTGCACTAAAATAAAATAAACATCATTTTAATTTACATTAAGTATTATCAGGTATTATGTATGTTATTTATTTAAAAACTGCAAATCTCTTGTTTTTAGAATAGACATCCTATTGCAGAAATGCCAAAAAAGATACATGTGGCTACTGAATTGCCTTTTTTTGGTTTTGTTTTTTTTTTTCTGTTTGTATGGTATGTTTTAATGTATTCCATTTGTTAGTGTTGTATTAAGTTCAACCGAATAAGGAGATGCTAAGTTTGCTTCAGGGTGTGAAAGAAACATTTTCATTTGTTTTTTAAAATAAATCAATTTTAATTATTAAAAATATTAACATTAATGACAGTAAATATGAGGAAAGTCATGTATATAGTTTTCAACTAAATAATAAATGTCAAATAAAAAATAAAATATACAAATACAATTTGTTAACACTTCTTTTTATTCAGGAATAAAAAAATGTCTTTATTCTGTACAAGCTTGAATAAGCAATGTGGTGCTTATAACATTTGGAGGCTTCAGTGCGGTGCTTATTCAAGAGTGGCGCTAATAAAAATAAATACTAGTGTGGCGCTTTTATGCCCATTCCCATGTTACATATCTCACATTCCTGTAATACAGTAGGCCTATCATAGGTCCAATGTCATAGTAAATAAACACTTTAATACAAAAAAAGAAATACTTGTGTATTCATTGTGTTACTTATTCATCTTAACACTGTATACATTGCATTTAAAACCCAAATTGTTTAATTACACACAAGGTAATAATATACTCTTAAGAGCCACGATGCTTATTCGAGAGGGGCGCTTTTTCGAGCATTTAGGGTAATTAAAATCTATATAATCTGAATCCACGATTTTGTATCAAGATAGCAATAAAGGCTTTTATTTTAATTATAAATCGCATTATTACAGAAAACATATTTTTAAAAACTTTTTATCACTTGCAAATTGACATCTTATTGAACATTTCAAACATTTTTTGCCTGCAGTCTGGGTGTTTAATTTTGTGAATAAAATTTTCCCAAATAGTTGTCTGTACTGAACATGATGGATCAATCAGCATACATTCCACAATATTTTTGCCCATTTCTTGTGTTGAACTTCTTGGTTCCTTAAAGCTGTATAACCTTTGCTTTTATGGTTACGAGTTGAGCGTTGCTTACACTTGAAAGCAAAGAAATGTTTTGGGTTGATAAATTCCTAAATGTGGAATGGTATCTCCAACTGCTTCACTTTAACTTTTGAGTTTATAAGAATACCTGGCTTTGGTACCAAAATCGCTCAACTTCACTGGATTTTGGTTTTCAGTAGTTCTGGAATTCAGTGTGATTTGAAGCAGAAAAACAGTTTTCTGAAAATTTTCTGCAGTGCTTGGTAATTGCACTTTGAATTCCTGATTTTTGTTTGGTTTTTTTAACTGGAGATACATTATAAATGTAGCCTTCCCATGTCTTCCATTTTTTTGCCATATTTTTCAGTTCATTAACCTGAAATGATAAAGTATAATGCAAAA